AAGAGATGCAGTGAGCTTATTTACTGCATTTCAGTCAGTTCCAAAAGTTCTCTCTCTCCAAGTCTTACATAAGGTTAAATACAGAAGCATGGTACTGGCAGGCCCCCATTTTATGTACCAGTTTCTATTTCTCATTGACTATAATTGTGGCTATAGTCTTAGAAGTTAACAAATATGTATTATGGAAACATTACTTAAACATACATACCTGCATGTAGCTTGAACAGTGTTTTGTACAGGTGTGTATAGAACTTCATTGGATCAATATTAAGAACATCACCTTTCCAATGAAAACAAACATAGATTAAAGTTATAGCCTTCAACTACAAAGCCAAAAAAACTTAAGAAAATATCTTGGGGCTGGGGACATGGCTCAAGTGGTAGACCACCTGCCTAGCAAGTGTCATCAAGTATAAGGCCCTGAGTTCAAACCCAGTACCAGACAACAACAAAAAATCTTACCTTGTCCGGAAAGAATATGAAAAGCAGTCTGGACACAGTGAAGGCTTTCTTCATAGCTTAGGTCCTTAAAAAACAAAAATAAAGATATTAAAAATGATAATTACCATTTATATCTTTAAAACATAATCCATTAATACTTACTTACACCAGACTCAATCAGAGTATGAAGAACTACTAATAAATCATCAAAAAACTCCACATTTATAAGATGAGCAAACCTAGAATCAAACAAAACTTTGTTAATAGGTAATCTAAAAGCAGAAATAAAGCAGGTAAAATTAAGCTTCACTTTAAAACTGCTCTTAATATTCTTTATTTCAAAATGTTAGCTATGATGGCAATGACTGTTGATAAATTTTATTGATTCTGATTGGCTTTTTAATAATTTACACCATACTGAACATACTGGTAGGACTATATGAGACACTAAACAGATTTTAAATATGTTCAAAATACTGGCCTAAGAAAGAAATTGCCTAGAGCAAAGAATTTCCCTGAGAGAAAAGTTTACTAGGTTTCTAGCAGCAGTCTTGAGTCATCAAGCAGCCAGCAGAATCAGCTTCTAAGAAAACAGGTCGCAGGGAAGAGTGAAAGAAGATTCTGTAATTTGTAACAATATAGACCTGGGGCAGGGGGTGTAGCTCAATGGCACATGTGCAAGGCCAACAATTTAATCCCCTGTACTAAAAATAGAGAATATGGACATTATGACATCTTTAAAAATAAAAATGGAAAAGAATATTGGACCTGGTGTCAATTTAAGGATCTACTAACAACTACCTATTGTGCTCCTACACAAGTCACTTGATTGTCCTGAACCTCTGTTTCTAGAAACAACTGAGACCATCAAATGACATGAGCTACTAAAATGTGAGAGTACTGTGTAATACTATAAAAATGTTAGGCACTGAAGTAAGTTAAAATAAGGATCATGCTTTAATATTACTAAGAGTTTTGACACTATGTAAATCTTAGCCCAAGGAAAGACCATAGAGGTGATACCTTAGAAGTGATGTATTATTCCATGTATACTGCTACCACTTTTGTGGGAAGCAATCTAGCATTATTTATCAGAATTTAAAATGAGCATATCTGATCAGCCACATAAGTGCATGAAGATATTACACAAGCACTGCTAGTGTAACACAAGGGAATGACCAATTAAGTAGTGATATCCAGCTGGGTGCTGGTAGCTCATGCCTGTAATTCTAGCTAATCAGGAGGAAGAGATAAGGAGGATCACGGTTCAAAGCCAACCTGAGTAAATAGTTTGTGAGACTATCTCAAAAAAAACCATCACAAAAATAGGGCTGGTGGAGTGCTCAAGGTAAAGGTCCTGAGTTCAAATCCTAGTACTGCAAAAAAAGAAAAACATAATGATATTCATAATGGAGTATTATGAACTTAAAAAATTAAGTGATCTATATGTGCTAACATAGAAAAATACCTAAACTAACCACCACACTATATAGAGAATATATATACAGAACATATACATAGCATATTCTATTTGTGTGAAGAAAGGTAGGTAAAATAAGGGAACTGGCCATGAAAACAACAAACAAGTCTCATGCAGAGAAGGAAATAATCCCATCTCCGATCAGCCTTTCTTTGAAGATCGTCAATGATAAGAAAATCCATGCCACTGCCAAACAGCTTTGGTCATTAGAAAGTAATCTCTTATAATGAACTGGACTTACATCTTCCAAAGATTAGTCTCTGGAATAACTCCATTTCTAAAGCTGTGCTGTCCAATAATGGTAGCCACCAGCTACATGTGGCTATTAAGCCTTGAAATATAACTTCCAAATGAGATGTATGGTTAGTGTAAAATATATACCAATTTTCAAAGACATGTTATATTTTTAAAAAGGATACCAAATCTCACTAAAGCTTAATAATGAAATTAAAATAATATTTTAGGTAAGTCAAGTCCAATACATTAAAATTAATTCACCTGTATCTTCTTACCTTTCAAATGTGGCTAACAAAGTTTTAAATTGCATATGTAATTTACATTATATTTCTATTGGACAGCAATGAGAAGAGGACACTACCTCAAATCTAATAATGGACAACTATTATTCCAGATCACATTCACCATTAGTGTTGACAGGATATGCAAAAGATGTATTTTAGCAAGAACAGAGCTCAATGTCTAGAGAAATGACCTGCAAGCTGGGTTAAAATAGACTTCAGTCATGTGCATGATCTACCCAAACTATGTTGGTAGATAACTGACTACACGCAGTGCAAAAAAGCAAGAATGAGAGTGAAGCTTAGGAATAGCAAAAAGGGGTTAGTGAAGGAGATCCTAAAAATAAAAGGTAAGTTCACCGTTAAGAAGTTTCAAGGAAAGGCAGAAAGGAAAACTGAGACACTGGGATGTCATCATGGGGCTCTCTTCAAAATTCATGGTTACTTTGGCCTCCATATTTAGAACGAATCTAAGTTTCAACCTACACAGCCCTTACTTGGCAAGACCTTCTAGAACTGCTGGCAGGAGAGGTGATCTCTGGGCTTTCTTCAGTATTCTGAAGTAGGTTACAAACACAATATTCAAAGTCTCTGTGTGCTGGCAGAGGAAACAGACAAAAATCACTTTAGGTATGCTTTCTTTGGGTTAGCATAATAATGACTTTCAAAGCTAAATAATCTTCTCTTCTCACCCCTAACAAAGCGAAGACACAACTTGTGATTTCATAAAATTAGTACCAACTACATCGTATTTTCTTGCACAGCACAAAATCACCTAAGCCTCATGAAATAAACAAAAATTATACACTAAAAAGTTGAAACAATAAATTTGAAGTTATATTCACTTAACATTTTGAATGTATAACCGAATGTAAAATCACCTACCAGTTTAAGTTTTTTCTCAGTACTCTCTGAAGCTTCCGCCTCCCGCAGCTCTCGCTCTAGTTTCTCCTCTGCTTTCTTCCACTGAAAACAGAAGGAAAAAAAAAAGAGTATAGACCACTGAGTGAATAAAGCAGAGGCAGAATGTCAACATTACAAAATACACAATCAGACCATATATTGTATATGAACATAAACATAAGCAAAAGTAGAAAAACATGGATAAGATACACAACCAAACAAAATCCATAACTGTAATTACCGCTGGGGAAAGGCAAAATGAAACTGGAGAGAAACAAAGGGGATTCCTACTCTCACCAACTGGTTTTGTTTTTTGTGTTGTGTGTGTGTGTTTGTTTGTTTGGGGTTTTTTGGTGAAACAGCCAGTCAGGCACTCTGCCACTTGAACCATACCTCCAGCCCTTTTTGCTTTATTTTTCAGTATAGGGGCCATGCTTTTTGCCCAGGCCAGCCTCACACCACAATCCTTCTATCAATGCCTCCTGCTTAACTGGGTTTAGTGCACCACTAAACCCACCTTATCAAACCATGATCCTTGTATCTCCACCTCCTAAGTAGCTAGGACTATAAATATGAGCTACCACACCCAGCCCTAGTTTGCTTTTCAGATAGGGTCTCCTGCTAACTGTGCCAGGGCTGGCCTTGAACTGCAATCCTACTATCTCTGCTTCCCAAGTAACTGGGGTTACAGGTGTGCATCACCATGCCAGCCCTGTTTCTTTCCTTTCAAGACAAAAACTGAAGTAAGTATATTGATATCTACTCATTTTGAATGTTGGATATATGGAATATGCATCATTTTCTATAATTATTTCAACTAAAAAATTTTCAAAAGAAAGGGCTGGCGAAATCACGCAGGAATAGAGTGCCTGCCTAGTAGGCATGAAGCCTGGAGTTCAAACCCCAGAACCAACCAAAAACAAAAAAAAAAAAGGTTTTTCAAAAAAGAGTAAGTTGAGCTCAAAAATACTTCCTCGTGTTAAATAATCTGTAACATGGAAGCCAATAATTCTTCCCCAATCCTATTTCTACACAACATGTAAAACCAGATACTATATAGCAATTCAATAAAATACCTATATTTTCCCACCCCCACTGCTGGAAGAGCAGCAGACAATGGTTACCAAGCATCCTGAGTCACAGGAGACTGAAGTAAGTTTGCTTCCTTCGTGAGAAGGTTAAAGACCCAGTACAACAATAATTATAATAAAGTATATAAAAAACAAATTTCTAAAGAGCTACCATGTTTTTATTGAGTCTCTGTTCCCTACCCACAACTGTACATGTGCTGTTCCTAACATAGATAACCAACTTACTTTATATATATACCACACAGTTTTAATACATATGTTCCCTACCCACAACTGTACATGTGCTGTTCCTAACATAGATAACCAACTTACCTTATATATATACCACACAATTTTAATACATTTATCGTCATTTGTTTGCAAATTACTACTCTATCTTGATACTTTTTGTTTTCAAAAATTAGACCTACTCAATGAATATACCTGGAAATTATTTTCTATTTTGTTTTACAAGAAATTTCATAACTCTAACAAACAGTTGAGAAATGGTAACAATGCTTTATTGTGATGGTGGCAGTAACAACTAATGTCTCTAAAGCTTGCCTGATGTTATGAACGCTAAATGCTTTATGTACATCATTTCATGTAAACCGCATAGTAATCCTATAAAGTACATGCTCTGAGCCCCATTCCTAATATTTCCAAAGTCTCAGTTAATATCAAGAGGTTCCATGGAATGTCAACCCAAGTTAAGTAAGAGTTGGAATTCCAACCAATAAAAAACAATGGTTCAATTAACAAAACCACATATGAATGCATCCTTTCTGTTAAGGAAAAAAAATAGGTATCATAATAATTCTATATTGATCTAAAAAGCCAAAAGATAAAAAGCCACATGAGAGAAAATATTGTTCTTCTGCCAACAGTTGTCAATTCAAATTGATTTAAGAAAATGTTTCTTTACAATAACTGGGAAAAAAATCTCTAAATATTTGATTTCATTTTCTTGGGTTTTTTTTTAATTATTATTATTGTTGTACTGAGAGTGCATTGTGACATTCACAAATGTTCTTGCAATATATCATAGTTGAATTCACTGTTTTGCTTCTTTCTTGAGAGAGGGTCTCACAATTGTGGCCCAAGCTGGGCACACAAATTCTCTTGCCTTAGCCTCCTTGGGGAGCTAAGATGATAGGTGTCTGCACCATCAGCTTTCAAAATTTTTATGAATCTCAGCACTTGGAAGGCTGACGCAAGAAGATCATGAGTTAGAGGCCAACCTGTCTTAGAAGAAAAAAAGAATTACTTTCTTAACTATGACTTACCTGTGCCTATACTACGACATTAACCTAACACTAATTATAACAGAATACTTAAATGAAAAAAAAAATAAAAGAAACCAAACCTTTCTTTGCATTCTTGATAGCGTTTTTCTCTTTTCCTTGAATGTCATGAACTTTTTTGGTTTATTAATATCCTCTGTATCTTTTTTCACTTCAACTTCTTTGATTCTTAGGCACAAAAATGTTTTTAACATCTAATATTGAAAAAAATACAAATACACAGCTTGATATTTATACTGCCCTCCAAAACTCTGTATAGAAAAACATTTTTCATTTAACATTAACATTATTTAACAATGTTATTTCTTTCAGTCATGCAAAAACACTTGGAAACATCTTTTCTCACATAAAAAGTTCCAGAATCTTTTTGCTAATCATATTCAGTTATTTGTGCCTATGAAATAATGCTAGTATTTGGATACTACACAAAACTTTACTGTTTAACAGGTATAACTGCATTAGTAGATAGGATTACAGAGTATACAGACAAAAAACTGAACAGTATAAGAAAAAAGGAGAAATTAAGATATTTCTAAATGAGCTTTAATTTACCAACCTTATTTCAGTTCTGCAGTTAACAGCACTAGTATCCATCTTTCTCACAATAAAAAACAGCTCAAAGAGTAGTGTTATTTATTTGAAGACTGCTAGTTTTCCTTTAAGCCAATGGTTCCCCAACCTTAGCGAGTATCAGAATCCCTGACAGATGTAAACACATCAGCTGGGCCCCATCCCCAGTTTCTGATTCAGTAGGTCTGGAGTGGAGCCCCAGAGTTTGTATTTCTACTTCTCAGCTGATGTTGGTCCAGGGTCAAAAATGAGAATTCCTGCCTTACACCATTCAGAAACTTTAGAAGTACCTTGAAAATTGCCATTTTATGTCCCAAAGCAACCATTTTCATGTTCAAATACACAGCACAAAAAGGGTTTAAAACACTTTACCTTCTCTGGAAGAAACTACCTATTGACCTGCTGTAGTCCTAGAACAAAAACTTGAGAAATACAGATTTGTATTATTTCAATGTTCTAGTAGGCTCAGAAAGCTGAGCATTTCAGGTAATAAGGCTAAAAGCATAAAATAAAAACAAAGTATAACTAAAAATATAAAATATAAATCTGAAGTGACTCTTCGTATTACAAAGGTCAATTTCAAATATTTTGTAGGTACAATTATGTACTTACAAAAGATTACTTACCAATAAAAAATAACCCCAAATTACAGGATATAGATTTTAGGAGACCATGAAAATAATTCTGTGGTACAGTGCTTGCCCTGGGTTTGATCCCTACCCAGCACCTGGGGATACAGTTTTTGTTATGACATCACTAAGGTGCAAGAGTTTCTTTATGGTTGAATGTCATGTTTAAGCCTTATTATCTGATCACTCTATAATTATGAATAAAGATCGAAACAGTTCTCTTACTTAAGCTTAGTATTTGCCACCTTAGTGGTTCAACTGAAATTACCACGTGTAAGAGAAAAAAAAGGATTTGATGGCGAAAGAACTATTAAGTAAGAAAATAAGCACCTGAATAGAAAATATCAGCTTAACAAATAACACTATGAGTAAAAATAAATTTAACACAAATATCCAAAACCCAAATGAAGAAAACTATAAAACTTCACTTAAGAATGTAACAAATAAGATGGATATGGTGGTACACAACTGTAATGTCAGCACTTGGGAGGCAAGGGTATCTCAGGTCCCAGGTCAGCCTGGGCTACAATAGAGTTTGAGAACAGTAACATAGAGAAAGAGACTCTACCTCAAAAAACAAAACAAAACAAAAAACCCTAAAAGTCATCTTAAATAAATGACAAAATATACTGGCCATTCATTTCAGATGTACAAAATATATTAATACATATAACTATGTATTAAAAATACTGTATGTATTAGTACATTTTAATACATAGTTGTCACGTAATAATATATATAACACATAATACAGCCATATGTACTGTGTATCTGCAACCATACCAGTATATACTCAAAGATGTCAAATGACTTTACTATTCAACACACACCAAAAAAAAAAAAAAAAAGCTTCTGGAAGAAACTCTGTAAAGCTTGAGAATGAGATGTCTCTGTGCATGAAAATAATACAGCTTCATATGTCAAGCTCAAAGCAAATTAAAGGCAGCTTTACCAAGAAAAATTTGCAATCTATGTAACAAAGATTTAATATGCTTACTATGTAATATAGGCACCACAAATACACAGCTTTGTTTCTTTTGTTTTTTTATCCCCAGGACCTAGAATAGTGCCTGCACATAGCAAATATTTAGTGAAATAAGTGAACACTAAAAAATTATCACAAGTAGCCAGGCACCGGTGGCTCATGCCTGTAATCTTAGCTACTCATGAGGCAGAGATCAGGAAAATCATGGTTCAAAGCCAGCCTCAGGCAAATAGTTCATGACTCTGTCTCAAAAACACCCATCACAAAAAAAAAAAAGACTGGCTGAGTGGCTCAAGCCATAAAAGTGTGTGTCTAGCAAAAGTGAGGCCCTAAGTTCAAACTCCAGTACTGCCAAAAAAAAAAAAAAGAAAAAGTAAAAGGCTTACCTCTGGTCTAACTTCATAATTTCTGCCCTTCACAAAGCCAGAAATCACTTTTATTACACCAAGAGAAGCTTGTCCTAATTTATCTTGTTTAAAGAGTTTCTTTACTGCCTCACAACACATTTCAGATATCTGAAAAATACAATGTTACATTAAACAAGTGTTTCTGATCTTGGCACTACCGATATTTTGGGTCAGGTAATTCTGTTGTGAGGGAGCTGTGCTGTGCCTTGTATGATGTTAAAAAGTATCCCTGGCCTTTACCACTAGACAGTAGTAACCACACTTCCTACCACCACACTCATGACAATCAAAACTGTCTGCAGATCTTGACTAGTGTCCTGCAGGGGGCAAAGTGCCTTCAGTTGAAAAACACTCCACTAAACATGTTCAAATAATTTTCTTAAAGTGACAGTGTTTAATATAATCAATACTATTTATCAATAAGCAATAGCTCCAAAAGAACTGGGGATAGGGGAAGGAAATCACATAGTATATAATTTTTTGCTAAGGACAACAGCAATAAGGCCATTTAGAGCAACCCACCGATTTTGACATGTCATTCATGAGAGGGACAATCAAGACAATGATGTTGTTGTGAAAGTTAAAATGAGGTAGTGCCACCAATAGCTCACACAGGCTCTTCACAGCCACTTCAGCCAGTCCCTTATATGCCTTTAAGGAAACTACATTACTTTTCTTCAGCTTTCTCTGCTTCCAGTCTAATTAAAAGATAAATGCAGTTACTTGCTTTAATCATTGATCAGAATTTGAATAAATTAGCTTTTTTTTCCAATGGTAAATGTGTATTTTATCACAATTTAAAAAACAATCCAAAAGAAAAAAAGAGAAAGACTTCATAGTGGTCAGATCTACTTAGAAAAAGTCTATACCTGCATGGTCAAGTACAGAGACAACTAGCCAAATATAGGTAGCAACTGAGCATCTAAAATGTTCAGATATGATGTAAGTATGAAATATACATTGGATTTTGAACTTAGGACCAAAGTAATAATGACATAAAACATCTCACTAATCTTTGATTATTAAATTATGTTGAAATCATAATTTGAATAAATGTAATTTACCGTTAATTTCATTGCTTTTTCCTTTTAAGTTTGGCTACATTTTTTTAATGACATATGTGGCACATATTAAGTATGGGGTTTTTTTTTTTTGCTTTTGGATAGTGCTAGTATATACAAAGTTATAATATCCTATCCTTGGGAGAATAAATGCTACTAAGTAGGGCTAGGGGTGAAGCTCACCAGCAGCAGTTCAGTACTTGCTTACCATGAACGAGGTCCTTAATTCAATCCCCAGCACAAAACAAGGGAAAAAAAATTACAAAACAATAAAGGACTAGCCAGGTGCTCGTGGTTCACACCTGTAGAATCCTTGCTACTTGGGAAGCTGAAATCGGAAGTATGGCAGTTCCAGGCCGGTCAATGCAAAAAAATAAATAAATAAAGTTTATGAGATCCCATCTCAATAGTGTGGTGGTATGCACCTGTCATCCCAGCAACAGCAGGATCGTGGTTCACCTGGCCTGGGCAAGACGCAAGGCCGTTCTCCAAAATAATCAAAGCAAAAATGGCTGGCAGAGTGCCTCAAGTGGTAGATGAGACCCTGAGTTCAAACCCCAGCAACACAAAAAAATAAAGGACTACAACATCAATAATGCTGAGGAGACTTAGTACCGAGACATGCTAGGCACAGGTCTAAGTGCTTTAGAGCTCTAATTCAATTATTTCTCACAGTGATCCTAAGAGGTAAGTGCTATTATTGCTCTCATTTGTAGAAAAGAAAACTGAGGCACAGACAAATTGAATCATTTGCTTATTACATAGGTAATAAATGGTTGAGAAAGACTGAGCCCAGAAAGTCTTAAACTCACTTTCTTACCATATACTTTATCTGCTTCTCACTACTCAGCACAGAATACAGAATTCACCTTTGCGATTATGTCATATACATTTAAGATACATTTAATATACCTTTAACCATTTGCTCCAGATTTTCCAAATAAAATTTGTACTGGCTAACCAGGCCTTCTTCAAATTCTCGTAACTTCTGGGTTTCTTTGCGGAGCTGAAAAGACCAAAAAGATCATTTTAAAGAAATCAGAATAGAGGGTGCTGGTGACTCACGCCTATAATCCCAGTTACTTATAATCCGAGCTAGCTGAGATCTAGAGGATCACAGTTCAAGGCCAGCCTGAGCAAACAGTGTGTGAGACCCCATCTCCAAAATACTCAGAGCAAAAAGGACTGGAGGTGTGGCTCAAGGGGTAGAGCACCTGTTTTGCAAGCACGAAGACCTGGAGTTAAGCCCTAATTCCACCAAAAAAAGGAAAAAAAGAAATCAGAATATTAAAATTAAAACCTAGAACAAAAGTGCCTATACATGCCCAATGCTTACAAAAAGAAAAAAAAGATATATCTCTAGTTCTCTAAAATTTTCAGTTCATTTTATGTAAAATTATATCTAGCATTACCTTGGTAGATTTTTCTGCTTCTGTTAGGGGCCGGATTTTATATGAAGGAGTAATGTCCTTAAATAGCTCCATCAGAGAAACTATCACAAGCTTCCGAACAGTAACAGCCACATCAGGATCCTGTTCCATCAGCATGGAACGTAATTCTTTTAGTTTTTTAATCTGTTAAAGAAATAATTTATAGACTAGAGAAGTCATGGCAAAACAGTGCTGAGCAAAAGTAAGCAGTATTCACCTGATTCAGAGTCTAGTTAAGTTACAGAATAACCATGTTTATTATATAAGTAGTTAGAAAAATATTGACGTCATTCAAAAAATAGCTTAAAATTTTAATATACCTATTTTTAGATTTTTTTTGTGTGTTTTGGTTGTACTGGGGTTTGAACTCGGGGCTTCATGCTTGCTAGGCAGGTGCACTACCACTTACGCCACTCCACCAGCCCTTAGATTAAGTCTTCTTAAAGTATGTATCTTATTTTCCTAAAAACACTTTTTGAAATATATTAAAATGTTCCATATACTAAATATATTAATCACATCATGAACTAGTCAAGAATTAAATATAATATAGTCGGCCACATGAATTTCAACTAGATTCACATAAAGATAATCTGTATGAGACAATGCAGAAGTAAAAGTGTGGGTTTCAGGGTTGGGGAGTGGAGAAAGTGACAAAACATACTTGCCTAGCCAGCAAAAGGCCGTGATTTCCAGCCCCAGCACCACCAAAAACGAAAAAGGTTGCAATATGCTTGCCTTGATGAACTACTATTGCCCACTGCAAGAGCACTTTGAAAAGAACTGCTCTGACTGATTAGCAACATTTACCACAGCAAGAAGTAAGCCAAACAGGCCACTGTTTGCTATCCCTACACTGTGTGAAATAAGGATCCATAGTGCTGGAAGACTCTGGAGTGGCTGTTAAAATCAGAGGAGAGAAAAAAAATCACTTGAGTTTTGTTTTGGGTTTTTTTTTTTCTCTCAGTGCTAGGAATCAAACCCAGGGTCTTGGCCATTCTGAACTACATCTCTAGCCTTCATCTGAGTTTTTCAGGCCCAATTTTTCAGTTGTAAAGTGATCAACAGATCTCCATGATTTTATAATTAATAAAAGAGGCAAGAAATATTCTAACTTCCCATCCTTGATTTTACTCCAGATACTCGACTCTCTTTATTAGAAGACAAGTACTACTCCAAAGCATGCCCATATGAAATTTTTCTGTAAATGTAATTAATACATTTTACTACTCAATAAACATTCCTAGTAGGATGCTAGGAATGCCAATACAGCAAGAATAAAAAATCACATTATATAATATTATGTTTATTTTCTCATTTAAACTCCTCAACAAAATTTTTAAAATAGATACTATTCCTCTTTTAGAGATGAAGAAAGTAATTTTTGGATAAAGTAACTATGCAGTCCCAAAAACAATACTCAGGAGGGCCAAGACTAAGAATCTTAGGTTTTTTAGTTCACAAGACATAATTATCACTATTTTCACCATTAGTCACCAGACCCAATGAAAATTCACTGTAACTTTGCTCTATTTCACTTAAAATATTTTCCACTTAAAGTAATTCTGTGGAGCATGTTCCTTAATAAAAACTCTATAGAACCAGGCCCAGTGGTGCATGCCTGTAATCTCAGCACTCAAGAGGCACAGGAGGGAGGACTAGGTGGTCAAGTCCAGCCTGGGCTACACAGAGAGACCCTGAAGCAAAAAAATGAACTAAAAAAACTCTATAGATCAGTCAAGCAAATTTGCAAGTAAATTCCTCTTTCCTGATACAATTAATGTTCAGATACTTACCACTTGTAGAGTTACCAAAATAGTCCAGTATTTTCATTTGGAGATGAGGAAAATAAGACTCAAGAGAGTTTAAATGACTTTTATAAGGTTACAAAAGAAATCAAGTTCAGATATAGTATTAAGCTAAGATTCTGTCTATGCTCTTACTCTACTCCAGCTATTACGTTCGGTTAATTCTTTACCTTTTTTGCATGTGCTCATAAGCAACAAGAAAACCTTAATATATTATATATTTACACTCTATGTAATACAAAAAACCTAAAGAAACTAATGCTACATACATTACTTTCTGGATCTGATAATATGGCAGATGCCAAGGTTGCAATATGCATCTTCTTCTCCAGTAGTTTCTTCTTTCTCTCAATCAGATGTTCTTCCATGGTCAGTTCTCGAATAGGCTCCTCGATGAGCTCTGAAACAGATTAGGTTTTCCCTCGTAAGTATCCCTTATTTACAAGACTCCAAGACACTTTACAAAATAAAATAAGTTTTTTGTAGTAGTAATCATGATGCTAGCTAAGAATTATGTATTCATTACTGTACATCAGTCTCTCAACAATCATGTAAGACAAGGACCAAGACTCATTTTGTAAATAAGGAAACTAAGGTAAAGAAGAAGAAAGTAGCTTGGCTAGTCTCAAAAACCTAATATAAATGGGATTCAAACCCTATAGAGTTCATATTCTTAACTACAATGCTATAAAAAATAATAATAATTTATATTTACTAAAGGCAAACTGATTTAGTTTTTTCTTAAAGTACAGAATATTGTCCTGTTTTCAACTCTATGTAGTACTTTGAATTACAGAAAAAATGTCCACCTAAAGAGATTCGTAAGGAATTTTATCTAATAAATACAGAAGCATAATCTGTACTGAGCCTATGATTGGTAACTGATAAAAGTTAAATAGGTGACTTGTAATCTCATATATACTAAGTGCAAGTAAAATTTAACCAGCTTGTTTTGTCACAAATTCTAAACTAAAATTGGATGTGGTAACCCATGTCTATAATCCCAGCTACCTGAGAGGCAGAAGCAGGAGTAGCTAGAGTTTGAGGCCAGCGTAGACAAAGTTAGGGAGACCCTATCTCAAAAACAAAAAATAAGTGTTTTTTGTTTTGTTTTTTTTTAAAAAGGGCTGGGACATGGCTCAAGTGGCACAGCGCTGGAGTTGCAAAGAGAAGGTTCAATCTACAACACTGTACCCAAAAAAAAAAAAAAAATCTAAACTAATAGTTTCAGTCAAAAAAAGAAAAAACTTATTCTTTCAGTTTAATTTTGGTTAGTTAAAACTATTCTAGATATTAGAAACCCACACTCAATTATTTAAAACATACAAAATCATTTTTGTAATTTAAGCCTAAAAAGTCAATTAGTTGTAGATAAGGACTTCTCTTATAATTTAAAGGAATTTAGAGGGCCAGGAGTGGTAGTCCACACCTGTAATCTCAATTACTTGGGAGGCAGTGTTAGGAGAATTGTGGTGCGAGGCCAGCTGGTGCAAAGTGCAAGCCCTGTCTGAAAAACAAACTACAAAAAAACAAAAGGACTACGAGTAAGGTTCAAGCAGGAGAACTCTTGATAGCAAGTGAGAGGCCCTGCGTTAAATTCCCAGTGCTGTTAAAAAAAGAAAGAAATTCAGAACACAATTCTTTATGTGTGCCTTTATAATGCAAACATAAATTGTGTACATTTTTCCATAATAAAAAAAGAACAAAATATCAAATTCCCCAAGGCGAGACTTTCAAATGTGGAAACGACCTTTAAATTAGCAGTAATCCCAAGTGGACATTCCAGCTTTTACCTAAAAAGTACTCAATTAATACTTTAGTAACTGTAAAGATACATCTCATTACCTTCCTCAAGTTCCATCTCTTCTTCTTGATCTTCTTCATCTTTGCTAATGTCCACAACTATTTGGAAAATATATGTATTAAAACTATGACAACACACTTAAGTGCTGAAACCATAAAGAACAGCAAGAAATTATTACCATAAAACTCAGAATACTAATTACTTTTACAGGGAGAGAGCATTTAGTGGTGGAGGGCCATGCAAGGGAAGTTTCTGAGGCTGGCCATATTTGTTTCTTGTCTCAGTGGTAGTTTTACGAGTATGTACTTTATGATAAATTATGTAATTTCATGTCTTCATTTTATGCCTTTGTGTTCTATTTCACACACATATACAACATATTATAAAGGTAAAGGGCTAATCAAAGCTAGGTAATGTATTCTATTTTCAGAAACAATACAATTTGATGAAACAGACTCTGAAAAGAAAATCATCCAAACCTTGAAGTTGCATTTGCACTCACAGTACAACAGACTCTCAGATAATCATATACAAATTTCTAGCCAAAATCATCAAGCTTGCAAGATGTTCCTATTTTGCAGACATAAGTAAGTCAAAATTAAATTAAATGGTGAGTAAAACAGAATGTGTTATGGTATTAGTGAGGAACTAAAAGTCTAATCAATCAGCCAAGTAGACTTACCTGGTTTCTCTCTGGTCTGTGGGATTATACCACTTTTATCTTTAATAGGAAGCAGGTGTATCAGTTCCTTCTCTGGTGCAGTTTGCAGAGTTCTTGGTATTTTTTCATACTTATCTATAACACTCTCATTCTTTCTTTTTTTGGCATGAACTGGCTCACTATAGAAAAACATTCAATTTTCAGTTTTAAAAGGTACCTAAATGCCTATCATTTTAAAAGTACTTGCACAATTTGCATTTAGGATCCCTGCCTCCCCACACATAGTAGAAAATTCAAATGTGACATCTGGCACCCCCAAAACTTTACTGACAACCTGCTGTTGACCATAAACCCTATTATTTTCTGTTTTGCACATTACATACAGTGAAAAATACTTGTGAGCCATAAGAGGTCACTTTTTACTGAAATATACAATTCATCATACAGAATTTTCAATAGATCTAACAATTATCCAAAATAGTAACAGGGGGTAGCTATGATTTTATTACAAAAATATAGTATATGCTACAGCTAATTCTATGCAGTGTTTAATACTGAATTTTTTTATATTTATTTACATTCTCTCCACTCCAAATGGCACTGTATATGGGCTAAAGTGCCTGCAAATTTTGATAAAATTTTTTTTATAATAGATCTGTGTATATTTTATGGTGTGAATCACAAAAACTACTATTAACTACAAATATTTTATGCACTCATGACACTTAATTTTTCAATATTTCTAGACTATGCAGTTATTATGCAAGTTTTTTCAAACTACCATAAATATGTAATTTAAAAAAATGTATGCATGAACCCATATAGTTCAAAGCCATGTTGTTCAAGGGTCAACTGTACAGAAAATTAAACCACCTATTTATATGCAACTATCAACAGGTGTATATACATGAGCACTTAGATCAATGCCTAGCAGCAGGCTCTTAAATAGCAGAAGAATAAATGAACTGTGTAAAGTCTACAACAAAGATTCAAACTACAGTTTCATGTAGCTTTTTCTTTAGATGCAAAAACAAAAATCAAAGTTACAACAGATTCCTTTTGAAGGACATTCCAGAGTTGAGGGATGCCGACCTTATGCTTTTATTCTCCCAAAAATCTTTCAGGGTATAGCTGGATCCTCTCTGGAAATGTGAATAATACCTAACTAATAAGGTAAAAAACTTGGTGCTGTTGTGCCAATGCCTCAAACAGAATAGCATTCTTCCCCAATTCACTGTATTCCCGTGAATACAGTGATGTATACTAAAATCAGCTTGTTTTGTTCTTAAATTTCCTTTAGAAAATAAACTGAATATCAGAGTTGCTCTTTGTAAACATTGTGCTCAGAGGTAAACATCTTGAACTAACTGCCTAGGCAAAATTCAAAACCAAGTTTGTAACACTGTGTGGATATGAATGATCATAACCCAAGTAAAGTACTACCTGGAAGAAAGATCTCTTGTTACAAAGGATGCTCTTTGTCCTAAATCCCTCATTAACTGTAAATCATCTTCATCCATCATATCTAAAGGAAGGGCTTCTTCTTCCTCCTCTTCTTTCCTCTCAATCCTTTTAACTGTAACACAAAAAAAAAATCAGAGTGGGGCAGTGGGGAGAGATGGTCCAAACAATGTATACACTTATGAATAAATGTATAAACAATTTTAAAAAATTAAAAAATCAGATATAAGTATTAGAGATTTAGAACTCCACATTTTTGTACCTACATAATAGGAAAAGCTTATGTTTTTCTAGTACCTTAGCCCAGAGTTCCTACAGAGAGTACTACTGACAGGTCAGGCATGACAATTATTTGCTGTACTGGCATGCTTTGAGTTAGGCATCTTATTAGCATCTCTGACTCATGAAAATTAAATGCCAAGAGCACTGTACAACAAAAAATATCTCCACATACACTGAAATGTCTCTCAGAGCATTTAAACCTCAATGGCTTAACTCCTTAGCTCCTTCTCATCTCCAATGACTTTCACTTCTATTCCTCTTTAGCCAGCCTGTTCAAAGAACCACATCCCAACCCTGATGCTCAGCCTTCTGACCACAAACTTCTGTCCTTCCAGTTCTCATTCCGTTACTTCCAAGCACTACTTGTTAAGTAAATGAACAGACCTTCAATCTTTCGGCCATTCACTATCTACCAATGTATTCTGTCTTAACTCCCTCACTTAAGTTACATCTAACAAAACCCTAACTACAGATCATTCTAATTTTCTCTCTGCTCACTTTCTCTGTCCCTGGCTCTCTTTCTCCATCTTTCTTTTTCTTTCCTTTTTTTTCCCCTGGAGATACTGAGGTTGAAATCAGGACTGCTTCCTTGCTAAGCAGGTACTCTACCACTTGAGCCATGTCCCCCAGCCCTTCTCTTTTTTTTAATTAAAAAATTAGTTGGGAAGGAACCCTCTTACACTGTTGGTAGGAATGTAGACTAGTACAACCACTCTGGAAAAAAATTTGGAGGCTACTTAAAAAGCTAGACATCGATCTACCATTTGATCCAGTAATACCACTCTTGGGGATATACCCAAAAGACTGTTACTCCAGAGGCACCTGCACACCCATGTTTATTGCGGCACTATTCACAATAGCCAAGTTATGGAAACAGCCAAGATGCCCCAGCACTGATGAATGGATTAAGAAAATGTGGTAGCTATACTCAATGGAATTTTATACAGCCATGAAGAAGAACGAAATGTTATCATTTGCTGGTAAATGGATGGAATTGGAGAACATCATTCTGAGTGAGGTTAGCCTGGCCCAAAAGACCAAAAATCGTATGTTCTCCCTCATATGCGGACATTAGATCAAGGGTAAACACAACAAGGGGAATGGACTACGAGCACATGATAAAAGCAAGAGCACACAAGGGAGGGGTGAGGATAGGTAAGACACCTAAAAAATTAGCTAGCATTTGTTGCCCTTAACGCAGAGAAACTAAAGCAGATACCTTAAAAGCAACTGAGGCCAATAGGAAAAGGGGAACAGGTACTAGAGAAAAGGTTAGTTCAAGAAGAATTAACCTAGAAGGTAACACCCACGCACAGGAAATCAATGTGAGTCAATGCCCTGTATAGCTATCCTTATCTCAACCAGCAAAACCCCTTGTTCCTTCCTATTATTGCTTATACTCTCTCTACAACAAAATTAGAAGTAAGGGCAAAATAGTTTCTGCTGGGTATTGCGGGGGAATGGAGAGGGAGGGGGTGGAGTGGGTGGTAAGGGAGGGGGTGGGGGCAGGGGGGAGAAATGAACCAAGCCTTGTATGCACATATGAATAATAAAATAAAAAAAAAATTAGTTGGGGAGATTTTGCTCCTATTTCCTGCATGGGGGACAGAAAATGCTTCTCTCTTTTCTCCTTCCTATTACTCTCCAAATAAACTTTACTGTTACTTTTCCTAAAAAATAAAAAAATTAGTTGGGCACCAATGGCTCATGCCATCCTAGCTACCTGGGAGAGTAAGATTGGGACGATCACAGTTCAAGGCCACTCCAGGCAAATAATTCATGAAGCCCTGATCTGCAAAACAACCAGAGAAAAGTGGCTCAAGCAGGAAAGCACCTGTTTTGCAAGCAAAGCCCTGAGTTCACATCCCAGTTCTACACAAAAAAACAAAAACAGAATGAAAATTAAGTGCCAGACCACTGCAAATGCTGAGGATTCAGCTATGAACAAGACAATTTTAATGTCCTCTCTAATAGAACCTGAAAGTCTTCCTGATAGCAGTAAAGAGTGGTAAATGTACACTGCACAGAATGGAATTCCTACCTACTTTAAATGAGCATTCCATTTCTAAAAATACCAGTGATCAGTGTATTTTCTTGATCAGCTTTCTCTGTTCCGTAGAATATCTTTTCATCTATCTATCCTCACATTTCAAACCCATCACCTATCTCACTTCACAATCATCAGAGATCCTAGCTTCTGGCTGTAATGAGAAAAGAAAGGCCATAAGCTAAATACTCCTTCAATTACCCATAGCAGATTCAACAGCATTTGCATCCATCTTTTCCTTATACTCCTGGATTTGTCTAACAGAATGCACTTAGATGCTGAATTGTTAAAATGAAGAAATCCTTTGCTTTTATTTTTTAGTATATAACTATTAGCACATATGCTTTTAAAACTGTTAAACTTAGATGGAAGAGATCTTTAAAAGTACTTTACTCACCAAATTTTTTTTTTTTTGTGGGACTGGGGTTTGCACTTAGGGTTCATACTCGCAAAGCAGGCAATCGCAAAGCAGGCACTCTAACACTTGAGCCACACCTCTACTCCATTTTGCTGTGGTTACTTTGGAGATGGGGTCTCATGAACTATTTGCTTGACTTGGCCTTGAATCAAGACCCTCCCAATGTCAGCCTCCCAAACAGCTAGGATTACAGGCATGAGCCATCAGCCCGAGCACCCAACTCACTTTCATATAGATAAAATACTTGATGATTAAGTGATCAACAAAGTCCACATGGCTAGTAACAAAATCAAGAGTAAAGTCCAAGTTTCCTCACTTCCAATCCCGTAACTTTTCATACATCATAAGGTTGTCAAGGGGTCAAATTATGTCAGGATTAAGAGAATGAGATGAAAACAGGAAGAGTGAATAGTTATTTAATAATTAGATATAATCAAATAGGAATACCCTAAAGTACAAGTGAAGTTGTAGAACTAGCCTAACTCAAAGTGGTCACAACCCTTTCTTGTTTTAAGTGAGTGGAGATCTCAGATAGTCTTATAAAGTAGCCCTAACAATTACAACTCAATTTTACTCTAAGGTTACAAGAAGAAAGAAATTTAGAAAAGGAAGCACACAAAGAAAAGTGATACTCTTACCTCAGCCAACTGCCAGTGAATGGGAAAGTGGCAGCACTGGCATGCTGAGCAACATTTATTTCCATGGCTACCCTAAGTGTGTTTTCCTAAGTACTGCATTTTCAGATCTGTTCTTTAGGCCAACTAAGACTAGCTCTTTTTCACAATGAATGCTATTAAGAAAACATTTTTCTCATACCAACTGTAGGAAAGCATACAGAACTCCTATCCTTACTTACTCTTAGGAAGATCTGAAAAGAAGAGTGATTACTAAAAAGCACATTATTTCCATTAAGAATATTTCAGAATAATCAATGTAAACTAGAGCACCTGAATGATTTTATAATTACCTGCTTGTTTTTCCTTTGGGTTCTCCAATGGAATGGGTTTCTTAGACACTGCATCTTTTACAGCTTGCCTTAATTTCCTCTGTTCTTTTCGATACTTCTTGAGAGTACTTTGTTGTTTAAACTGCTTATTTTTCAGCTTGTTTTCAAGTTTGACTTTACTAGTTTTCAGCAACTTGCGAAAGCTTGGGACTTGTTTTTTATTTCTCCTCTAGAAGACAACAACAAAAAAATACTACATACTGAAAAATTTAAATACATTTATTTTAAAAAAAGGTTAAAATGTATTAATACAAATTAATATAAATTATTATATTAATTTATATTATTTATATTATTATTAATATAAATTTCATCTAACCAATTCTACAACTTTAATGTCTCAGTCATGGATCATACTACATACTGAAAAATTTAAATACATTTATTTTAAAAAAAGGTTAAAATGTATTAATACAAATTAATATAAATTATTATATTAATTTATATTATTTATATTATTATTAATATAAATTTCATCTAACCAATTCTACAACTTTAATGTCTCAGTCATGGATCATACTACATACTGAAAAATTTAAATACATTTATTTTAAAAAAAGGTTAAAATGTATTAATACAAATTAATATAAATTATTATATTAATTTATATTATTTATATTATTATTAATATAAATTTCATCCAACCAATTCTACAACTTTAATGTCTCAGTCATGGACCAAACTATGTCCTCAATCCTACTGACTGGCACCAGAGCATCTGGTATTCAACCAGGGGTTTTCTATAATCAGAATTCAGAGCTACTCAAAGTGGTCTAAGATCCCAAACAAGGTTAGAATCTCTCACCTTTTGATAAATGCTTATTCAAAGCTAATTTAACACATTCTATAGTTTAGTGCATTCAGAGCAAAATAATGCTATTTTTAACAACTTCTATTTATATACTTTTATCATTTACCAAGTGCTCCGACAAATTAATCTCCAACAAATTACCTCCAACAGCCTAAAAGTGATAGGTGTTATTTTCACATTACTAATGAAGAAGCAAAAGCTTAAGTGGTTATGTAATTTGCTAAAGACCCCAAAGGAGGGCAAAACTGAATTCCGGTCTTCGGATTACACTCTCTTGCTGGTGACCTCTCATTCAGAAATCCAAACCCAGGACTAGTTCTAATTTTCCATGGGAATCTAGGTAAAACACTAGCTTTCCTATCTCCTCATCCTTTACGGGGAAGAATGGATCCATCTCGAATCCCGACATTCAAACTCTACACTCATCAAGGGTTGGACCTGCTTCTCGTCTGTAGAAAAGAGTTGGAAAGCGGTCTGGGAGAACCCTTCCTTCAGAGTCCGGCCTCTTACGATGCACGCCTCGGTGCCGGTTTCACAGCGGCCTCCGATGCCGTGAGCGCGAACGGTGGCGACAGGAGAAAAGCCCCGTAAGAACTGGGAAGCTGACACTGCACGGAGCCCCAACACAGGCCACCGCCCCTGTACACAGGAAAACTGTCATTCAGAGTAATCTTTAAATAGCGAACAGGCTCCAGAGAACACTCACCGCCTTCATCCTTACGCCCGAAGGGAGTAGCGACCAGACACGTTCACCAGAGGTAAAGGTAATCCAGGAGCCCGAGTGAGGGACACACGTGCACAATCTCAACACATCCCGAGCAGGAAGCAGCTTCCAGCCCCTCCCTCATCCTCCGCCGCCGGAAGTGGGAGGTGGGACTTCCTTCGGCAGGCTCAGGCGCGCGCCCTCTAGCGGTGACAGTTTGGCCGCCCCAGGGTTGGCTGGCCTCAGCGTGCGCGCGCAGACACAAGGAGATGAGAGTGGGCATTTTGTAAGGCTCTTGGGCTGAGCTTCTTTTTCTTTTTCTTTTTTTTTTGGTGGCACTGGAGTTTGAACTAGAGATTCACACTTGACAAGCAGACGCTCTTACTACTTAAGCCACTCCACTAGTCCGGCTGAGTTTCTTTTGACGTTTCCATTTTTTTTTTTTTTTTTGCGGTACTGGGGCTTGAACTTAGGACCTTCACCTTGAGCCACTCCACCAGCCCTATTTTTTGTGAAGAGTTTTTTCGAGGTAGAGTCTCGCGAGGTATTTTACTGGGCTGCCTTCGAACCACGATCCTCCTGATCTTTGCCTCCTGAGTAGCTAGGATTACAGGGGTGAGCCACCGGCGCCTGGTTTCCAAATTTTTTTTAAGGCTTGAGGAAATCAACTTCTGTCAGAATGAAAGGGCTTGGCTTTTTCAATACCTCCCTAAGTTGTTCATCTCATCCTGTTACAGATAATGATTTTCAGTCTTTTTTCCTTTCAAGTGTCGAGGGCAAAGAGAAACTTTTTCCTCCTTCGGTGCCTGACCCTAGTGGTCTCTCTGGGAGAGTTTGTTGAATGACACTCAACACCTTCCGTCAATCAAAAGTCTATGGTCCTTGATGTTTTATTTTAAAACATATTTTGCTTTAATTTTAACCATTATCTGATAAAGAACTAAATCAATGAATCTCATCTGCATTTCAATAATTTACAACTACTACCTTCGGATAAAATCTACTGTCTGCTTAGTAATTCTGCCAAAGTCCATTTTTATGGAAGCTTTATGCATTGCAAGAATATATTTTTAAGTGTTTGTCTCTCAAAGATTTCTTTCCTGAATAAATTTAAGACTTATACTTTAAGTGATGCACGTGATCCTTGAGCCACAGCCCTGACACTTTTGGCCTTGGTCCTGAGCAGGTGAGATGAGCCAGAAGAGACTCCAAAAGTTCTGAGGCTGAAGGTGTTGGCCTGAGAAGAAACCTGCCAATTTCTGAATCCCATTTCAGAAACCAAGAGTCCCCTTCTATTTGGCACCCATCTTCCCACCTCCCTTCTAAATTTCCCTTTTGCTCTGTCTTCTTCCACACCCTGTCTCAAAAACATGAGCGCCTTTCCCACTAGAATATTACTTCACTGAACAAATTGAAAACATCAGCCTGTGCTCTTCCCAAATGCTTGAGTTCCTTCCCAGACATATCAACATATGCTCCCTTTCAGCCTTCAAGTCTTTCCAAGCATGAGGCATTCCAGTTCCTGTTCAAAACTAACTCCTCCCAGCTTCTTCAGACTTTTGTATCCTTAATTATCCCTCTCTATCCTTTCCCTCACTGTTTCCTTAATAGAGCCTTCCCTTTAGCCTACTAACATATTCAAATCTCTCCCGTCTTTTTTTCTAATAACCTTTTCTCCTTTTAATGGTGTTTTGTAATTCCTCCTTCCAGAAAAAAAACATTATTCTCCCAGTATCTCCACTTCCTCCTCTCTATTATCATAACCCAAGTCTGTGCTAAGCTTTTTGAGGAACTGCATCATACTCTTGGCCCATTTTAAGTTTATAATCTACTAAAATCTCTGGCTCATTTTTAAACATTTGTTGCCAAATTAAATCTCTCCCATCTTGAATTTGAGCAGCCTATTGTTTGAAAGCAAACTTAAAAATGGAAGTTTACATGACTCCTACTGGTTTCTCAATTCTGTCCTCCAGCTGTCATCTGCCATTCAGTTAATCCACTGCTAAACCCAGTTTGTGTTCTACATCATCTTGGATCCTTCAGAGCTGTTCTGGACACAGGCTGACAGGGATCACTGGGCTGTCCCAAACTAGCATTGCAGGAATCATACCGAGTCCTGTGAGTCCTTTTGGGAAGTCTTGTTAAGAACCATCTGGCTTTTCCTGTAACAACATTCCACTGAGACAGAGCTCATTGTTGTCACTGAGAAGCTCCAAATTGTGGATTTTTTTCTAAGAGTAAACTAAATTACATAATTTCTCTCTTTTGTAACCTCATTGGATCTCTCTGTTACAGTTGATGCTATACATCTCACCTTTTTTGAATTAGAATGTTGACTCCCTTGGCTCTCCGAACAGCCTCTTCTCCAGGTTCTCCTTTACCTCCATGCCTTCTTCCTTAAGTCTCTTTAATGTAGTTGCTCAGAGCTCTACTCTTGGCCCAATTTTCTACTTCTCTTCTTGTTCTACTTGCTTGTTCAGCATAATCTCATCTATCTACCACAAGAGATTTTGTCCAACCCGTATCTCTCCTCCAACCTTAGGCTCATAGCCACCTGCCTCTTGGACATCACCACATAATAACCATGGGACTTCAGATCACCATGTTGAAGCCAGACATGATGACCTATACCTGTAATTCCAGCATTGGAGAGACTGAGGCAGGAGGATCATACCATGTTCAAAACTGGACTTTTTTTTTTTTCTTGCAGATCTCCAACATTTCCTATTTCATTTAGTTACCCACAGCTAAAATCTGGATATTCCAGAGATATTTGGAAGCAAGCCAGGGCTTTCTTGACATTCACCATATTATATTTCTGTTTTCTGTAAACAAGCAAATTTGAAAACTGCCACCAAGTTGACATTGTATGATAAAGTTTCTGGTATTCCAGTCCCACAATGGAACTTTTATAATAAGGAAATATTTAAATGTTTGCCACTTTGTAATATCTGTTTGGTGACAGAAGAAGCCCACCACCAGAATTAGAAAGCAAAAGTGTCATAATTGATCATCACCTTGGATATAAAGGAGTCAAGTAGACTGCCCTTTAGTTCACCCAAAGGGAACATTGTGGCAGCTAGAAAAAGCTTCCTTTTCCTCAGGACACTTTATAGACAAAACAAAGTTGTTGTCTCTACAAATAAACTGTGAATGCCAGCCCCTAGATTTGTGAAATATATAATCCTCCCTTACGACAAAGTGCTTGAGTGTGCTTAGAACTTTTCGATTCCTGCTAAGATTTGAGGGAGGAAGCAGTCTAGAATCTGCTCAGAACTTTTGAGAAAGTATAACAGTTAAGGAAAGAAATCTCACCTTCAGAAAGTTGAGAGATCACTATGGATGACATATAAATATGACTTAAAGTTACCTTGAGCACAAAATAAAAGTACTAAAAAATACATCTGAGATATCAGTCTTATAGAATTCTAAACCTTTCACGCACTAACTTATAAAAAGAACCTATTAATTTGAGGTTATCAGGGATCTAGAACCCAGTTGTATGGCTATCAATGAACTACTCAGTAGAAATCATCAACTATAAAGAGAAACATCAATTCCAGGAAGTGCTGATGATTTCGTGCTGTCTTAAAACTTGAGTTAATATGTGCCATTAAAACATGCCATTGTATCACCTAAGAACTGTCCTCACAGAAGTGTATAGATGTGAACAATATATCTATGTCTGTTTGATTGGAATTGGATTCCAAAACAATACATCTGTCTGTAAGTGATTGTGCCTTCTTCCCAATGACATTACCTTGTAGAAACCTAAAGCCTGTTGTAGGCTCAAAGTACATCAAATTCCAACATCAAGAATTTGAAAGTACAAGCTGGGCACTGGTGTCTTATGCTTATAATCCTAGCTACTTAGGAGACTAAGATCTGGAAAATTGAGGTTCAAGACCATCCTGGGAAAATAGTTATCTCTAAAATAATCAGAGCAAGCCAGGTACTGGTGGCTCACACCTGTAATCCTAGCTACTCAGGAGGCATAGATCAGGAGGATCACAGTTCAAGGCCAGCCCAGGCAAATAGTTCTCAAGACCCTATCTTGAAAACACTGAACACAAAAAAGGGCTGGTGGAATGCCTCAATGTGTAGGTCCTGAGTTCAAACCCCAGTACTGAGAAAAAAAATAAATAAAAAATAACCAGAGCAAAATGAACGGAGGTGTGACTCAAGCAGTAGAGTGCTGCTTTACATGCATAAAGCCCTGAGTTCAAATCCCAGTCCTGCCTCCCCCCCAAAAAATTTGAAAGTATATATGTCATGGTCTCTTTAATAATGTTAAAATATACTTAAGAAAACTATTACAGCCAGGCATAGTGGTACAGGCCTATAATCCAAGCCACACAGGAAGTGGAGATGGGAGGAATGACATTCAAGGCCAGCCCAGGTGAAAGTTAGGGAGACTCTATCTCTAAAACAAGACAGAGATGTTGTTTCATACCTATAATCCCAGTTACATGGTGAGCACTGGCAAGATGATTGTGGTCCAAAGCTGGCCCCAGGCAAAAGCACAAGACCCTATCTGAAAAATAACTAAAGCAAAAAAAAGGCTAGAATGTGGTTCAAATGGCTGAGCATTTGCTTACAAGACACAAAGTTCAAATCCCAGTACCACCCCAAAAAAGAATATTGTATAGTTGAGAAGGATAATTATGCATAGCCAAATAGGCAATAATAGAAGAGATGCCACAGGTACTAAAAGATAAGGGAAAGCTGCTTTAGGGAAAATGACAGAGCAACGTAGACTTAAATGGAACCCACAGAAAGGATGAAGTTCAAATAGATGGAATATGTTCTTAGTAAAGTCACAAAATAGTGCAAGCATTTATATTATTGTCCATCAGAAAATTAGATTAAAATAGCTAAGGATAATAACTATACTCTATTATCAATTATTAAAATTATTAAAGACCAAAATAAAAAAATAATGATGTAGCACATGTTGTTGATGTCCCATAAGTAACCCTTAGTACTTCCAATTCCATATATGCCAAAAACGGTCTTTCCAGCATTTGCAAACTTTCACTGAAGGACTTTTTCTGGACTCCTATGAGGGAGGCTAGAAGTACTTAAGAATTTCCACCTCTGGTAACAGCTTTCAGCCAACAACAAAGAGAAATTGAAGGATTAAAT